CACTATCCTTGCAATTGGGCAAAAAAATAGAGACCTACCTTGTATTCAACCAGAGTCTATTAGACCACTTTTAAAAATGAAAAGAAAATAGATGACCAGTGTCAGGAAATTTTAACTAGATGATTTCAAACATTCCTTCCAATGCTAAGATTTTTATGATTTATGATTGACAATGACTCTAATATGTATGAGAGGAAAAAAGAAGATGCAGCTTATCTTGAATTGTGACTGTTTAATAATATGTAGAAGCTATATCAAAAGATCCCTCCCTCCGTAGAATCTTGCAGGAATGGACAGAAACACAAAAGGATTCAGGGATTCTCCTCTCTGTGTCTACCATGGTACCTCAAGCACTCACAGAGCTATCTCACCAATTCTTGCCACCTCAGTCATAAGGAGACAACCTGATAGATAAAGACTTTTCATGCATTAAGGAGGCTACTTAGTGGCAAAGTTGAATTACCTTTGAATTAACCTCCAGGTGAGGTTCAGGAGGAAAGGAGTGCTTTTATTTATTTGGTTATTTATTTATTTATTTATTTATTTATTTATTTTTGCAGCTTTCATGTCCCATCATGAAAAAAAGCATCTCTTGTTTAAATTACAAGGATTAATTGCTCAACTTCAAAGTTAGGAGAGTTATCTAGTTTTCTTCCCTGAAATATTTTAAGAAAAGCAGCGTTTACATGGTAAATACACACAGTGATATTGCTGACAATCTGAAGACCTGTCTTAAAGAATGATCTCTGTTATTTATAAGGTTTGTGACCTTTGGCAAGTTACTTAGCCTGAATGAGTCTCATCTGTAACAGAGGGATTATAATATCTACTTCACAAAGATTCTATGACTTAAATGAGATATGTGCTCTGTAAATTGAAAATGAGGTTCAAATGTTAAAAACTGGAGGGAAAGTAATAAAACCAATACCCTCTGAAAATGCATTTTCTGAAATCACAGTTGAAATACCTATTAGGCAGACTAAGGATATGATAATTAATAAAGCAAGAACAGCAAAGAAAAAGACCAGTTCAGCTTTATTGAACTCATTCAGAATTTTAAAATTAGAAGATCTACAAAAAAACTTACTTTAATTCCAATATATCTATGTTTTGTGTTTTATAATTAATCTTGATTTCATAAGAATCACGTATAATCTTTTTAGTGCTAAGGGTTGCTACAGTCCTTAATCTGACTTTGAGTTTATCTTAAGTAGATTAAATAAGTACTGTGAGCAAAAACATAAAGCCCCGTGACATTTCAGTGAAAGATATAAAGAACATACATATGTCATGTGGGTTAAGTATACATTTCCTGGTACTTATCCGGTATTTCAACACTGAGAACGGAGAGAGATTGCGGCAACATAAGCAACTGCAACAAGTGTATCTCAAATTCAACATGACCTTCAAGATGGAAACTTGGATAGGTAGAGTATTTGATCATGGACATGGAAACTGCATTTAATTACACAAACAACTGATTGTGCATCCTTAAAGACTGATTATGGTATGACATCAAAGTCAAAAGTGGGCCCTCTGTATAGCTCATACCTAAAATTCCTTAATATTATTTTCTAGTAAATCTCATAAATCCATGTCTTGTTTTGACAGAGAATGCATGAGAAAAAGCCAAAGGCATTGTTCTGTTTTTCTCTGTAATGGCCACATGCTAAATAGGCCATGGTTCCTGTCCTGAAAGCTCTGCACTGATGAGAGTTAGCAGAGAGCCAGGCAGGGGGTGCCCCCCTTTGTTGCTGCTTTCATTTTTAAAATGAATCATAATTTCTGCACTGGATACGAAGATGGGTTTACAGCTATTAGCCATCATATTAATAATTTAGAAAATACATGCCCAATCACTTGTGTTCCTTCAATTCCCTATGAACACAGCTGCAACCCATATTAGAAGCGAGGGTGAATGGATATTTTTCAGATGAGATATTTGGGCTGAATTATTAGGGTAGCCTGTACTACAAAATTACTAATAAACATTGCTTCTGGCTCAATTTAGCCTGAACTCAGTGAACCTAGCCAATGGTGACAAATCAAAAACTCTGAAATACCCGATGAATGAATCTAACTAATCAAGGAACCCTGTAGGAAGTAGATGCCAGGATTAATGAGCCAGTAGTTTCACCATGCCATGCTGTTATTTCTTCACATAAATGCCCTCAGATGAGATTATCTTTATGTCATGAAAGGGAGAAAAGGAAGGTTACATTCTTTCAACTGACAGGTTAACTACTGCCATTACTAGAATACACGTCTTTGTGGACGAAGTTGTTTTTTTTTTTTTCTTTATCCCCAAATTAAAATGTACAGTCTGCAATATAAATTAAAACCACAGCTTCACTTTCATGGAACAAGATCATTGGGGGCATCAAACGTAAGTTGCCCCAAAGTTAGAATTTTATCTGTATTTCCTTTGTGTATTGACACCTTGATTTACCCAAATTGCTCTGCATCCTCTTTAGTATTCCATATCTGACACCATCTTTAGCAGTTTCCATTCTATATCATATTTCTTCCACCATCTACAAAAGGTAAGATAAGTACACCATTACTGCACCATCACTTGCATACCATGTATGGTATTTAGTACCAATATTGAGAAGAAACTAAAGATACCAGGGTAAATGTATGTAATAAAATAAACCAATCACATAGTTATAACATTATGGACTTTGACTTTTTCTGGCCAGTATGTGGTGACCGGATTCAGAATATGCCAAATTGACTACTCTGCAAAAAATGCAATTCCTCAGAAGCAGGACATACAGCATGTTGTACTTATTTACCTACCTTGTATTCTGATATCACTCATCATAATTTATTCTGTATTAAATTTAATTAGCCATTATTATAACTTTAACAGTTTTACAACCAGTTATTATTATTACTAATAGATAAACAATAACATGAAACACTATTCTGTTATTAGACTTTTTTTCCTCCCCCTCAAAAAGCAGATTCACGTTCACATTCCCTGCTTTTTAGCTTCGCTAAACTGTCAACCTTAACCATTTAGACCAGGTTGCCTTCTGTTATCCTATTGGCATACAGGACTTTTAAATGTTCAAGATTCTTAATACAAAAATCTATTGCCATAGAAACAAATGTTATTCTAGAATCAGGTCAAGTGAAAAACTCTGTACACTTTCATTTTAATATTGAAAAATAACCACTATATCATGAAATATAAGCATCTTTGAAAGCATCTATCACTTCAGGTGATTTGTAACTTCTCATCAGTGTTCTGAGTTGGCCTATTTTTTTTTAAATGAAAGATCCCATTTCCCTTGCCTTTGAGAAATACAATTTTTAAAGATTCCATTTAGCATCCTTTATTGCGTTCCTACATCATAAAGTTATGCTTTATAGCAGCATAAAAAAGCTGTAAAATTAGCATCCTTGTAAACAACCTTCCATGCTCATTGGTGAAGCAATCTGTGATTTGTACTGATCTCTTAAATGTGACTTAAGATTACAGTATCCACAATTTCAAAGTTTTTTTTTTTTTTTTAAAGGCACTAACAAGACAAGGGAGAAAATGATGTAATGTGAAAACAGTGAAAAGTAATCACTTACTGATACTTTTGAAATTTGGACATGGTGCTGCCAAGTTCTAGAATGAATTCTAAAATTACAGAAATGTCTCATTTTATATGAAACCCCAAATTAGTATATTTTCCTCTTCTTTAATACTTTAATGTTATATAGATAAGTATTCTTTAGAAAATGTAGAATTGAAATATTCTGTAAACTCACTCACCAACTGACCTCTAATTAAAATTCCTAGGGTAACATGAACATATGGGTTTTTTAATCGTAGAAAATCCTGCCTTTTTATCCTCACCTTTGAGGAGATTCCATTGCATTCTCTTAGTTGAGTAATAATTACCATACATATGGCTCCTAAAATGCACATGTAGCCCAGTGATACAAAACTGTATTTTATGACAAGGGTGTTTTTAGGGTTTACACTCCGTGGCAACCAAATGAGAAATCATCCCATGGGGAAAAGGGGTGCCTTTCTCAATGCCTAGAAAGACCATTAAATTTCAAACCACGAGATTGATCTTGGTTAGTTTTCCAAAGCAAGCCCGTGCTATCGATTTGACTCCAAGTTTAAAACACACTGGCAACCTTCCCCATCAGACTATCAAAGAAACTGCAATTTTTACTACTAGTTGGAGGAAATCCCTGGGCACGTGGCTAACTTGGAGCCTAGCTGGCTCCAAGCCTAGACCCTGAGAGAAAATCAGAGGAGCCCAGCGGGGGAAGCCCTGACAGGTGCGACCTGCACCGGTGGTCCTGGACACTCCTTTTCTTTCCCCCTTTGCCCCCACTTGTAAGGTCCTGGGGTGTCTGAAGCCTGGGTCCAGGGACTCGGAAGGACGCGGCTGCCTCTTTGGGAAGGCTGGGACGAGGCGTAGGCCCTGGGCGGAGAAAGAACCGCGGCCCCTCGCGTACGCTGGGTGCCTGGGACCAGTGGCGACCCTGGGCGGCGCGGGAAGGCAGAACTCCCGGCTCTGAAGGCCCAGGGTTCCACCCGCGGTCTCCTCCGGCCCACAGCACCGCGAGGGGCGCCTTCTGCTCCATCGTCGGAGAGAAACCCTAGAAGCCTATCAACCCTCGGGCTCTGCGTGGGCGCCGGCAGCTGCGGGCTTCTAAGCCCAGGGTGGCCCCAGAGCCTCTCCAGCCTCAGCTGGCCTGGGGCGCCTCCCGCCTGGCCTCCGCCCTTGTGGCCTTAGAACCGCGACTGGTGGCCTGTGGCCTTCCTGGCCTAATGCTGTTCCCCAACACACCGCCTCCCTGCAGAGGCCTCACGGTGCCGGCCATAATCTGAACCTAAGTCTGGAGAAGGTCCAAGGGCCCACGCGTCCCAAACGCCGCATGCGGTCAATGGAGAGCGAATATGAGAATCCCCCAAACTCTCTTTTCTCCCAAGAGATTCCCTCCCCCTTTCAATGTCACACCAAAGCCCATCATTCTCCATATCACATACTGAAAATGATTTTATTTTATCCATTTACATTTAACTTGATATAAACTTGTCCGGAAAAGTCAAATAATATGCTTTATATTAGCTCAAACATTTATTAAGAAAACCAAATTCCATAAATAAGCACAGACAATAAGTTAAAACATATCACAAATTGACCAGTATGTAACAAGAATGCTTTATCTACACAAAACATCCTATTTCACATGTTTGTTCATTCTTAGAAAGCGCTTCTGTTCTCTGGGTTTGGATTTGACCAGCACATGCAGAAAGAGCTGATTGTGTTTCTCTGTACAAAGTTGCAGGGTTGTAGATGTCCTAGCGCACCCATCAGCGGCCGGCAGGTGGCCGAGGGGCACAAGAGACGACAGGACGACCACAAAACAACCAAGGGCACAGAGCAGCGAGAAGAGAGAAACGGAAAAGGAAGCAAACAAACCCCAGTCCTGAAGGATCCAGAAAAGAGATGTGGCTTTTACTTTTACAAAAGGAAAATTTTGCTTGCATGTTTATTTTATTCTTCCTTATAAAGGCTTATCAAAATGGGTAAGATCACCTCGTCTTCATCACATAACTGCGTTAGTCTACTCCAGCCACCCGGTCCACTGGCATGTTCCTCCTGAGAAGCCTCCCCTCTGTACCCTCACACACTTGTGCTTAAGAAAATAGAAGTAAGATAAAACGAAAGCGTTCTTTTGCAAGCCAATAGAGGGTTGCATGAGTGTGACTAGATAGGGCAAGGGTAGTGTGGTGGGAGAGGAAAGAAAGGAGTTTTGAGAAAGAATACAAGCACAAATCAAATTATGTCAGTTTGGGCCCTCAGATGAGACGGTTGGTAGCAGATGCTTGTCCTCCTTTAAGACCCAAATCCCTAACATTGTGCTGTCCCTTGAACACGTCCGTGTATGACCTAGGAACACTGGTGTATGTGTGTGTGTGCGTGTGAGTGTGCGCGCGCGCGTGAAGTGTCTGAGCGTGAGCGAGAGCGGAGTGTGTGTGTTTCTGCCCACAAACCAGTCCATTGGTGTCTGATTTCAGATCCTGAGTCGACTCCCTGGTAAGTAAAATGGCGGGAAGGATGCTTTCTGCCAGGCGCGGGAGGGGCGTGAGGCGTGGGGAAAGGAGCCAGAGGGTAGGCACGGGGGAGCGGGGTCATAGGCGTCGTGTCCTAGGTGTCGCTGGGAACGCCGCCGGTCGGAAGGCGGGGAGGAGGAAGCGAGCACGGCCGGAGCGGGGCGGGAGGCGCGGGTAGCGGGAAGGGCGGGATGAGGCGCTCCAGACCCGGCCGAGGGAGGAAGTTGGATGGGAAGGGACGGGGACTCTGGGAGGTGGGGGGCCGCGAGCGAGCAAAATCAGGCGGAGGGGAGGCCTCGCAGGCTGGGGCTTGGGGAGAACCCGAGCGAGTGGAGGTGAGAGGCAAGGACTTAACAGACCTGGTGAAGGCCAGGGCGGGACGGGACAGGATAGGGCGCCGGGCAGAGACCCGGACAGGGAGCTGGGGTCCCCGCGCGCGCCGAAAGGGCCTCGGGGCGGCCCTGGGGACGGCGCTGGGGCGGAGCGGGCTGGGGCACGGCTGCATTAAGTGAAGCTCATGGAGACTGTGTGCTCTAGCGCCTTGCGGCGGAGGGAGGCGATGCTTGTGCCCCGCCACACATCGCTGCTGTCCGGGGAGCTGCAGAGCTGGGGCGAACCGGAGACATTGCTGGGGCCAGGGAGGGAGGCGGGCACCATGCCGGGGAAGGCGGGCTGGTAGAGGTGCGACTGCAGCCCAGCGCCGTTGGAGCCCGCCAGGCTGTTGGACAGGCCCATGGAGTTGGGCGGCGGCCCGGCCGCCAGGCTGCACTGGGACAGCGACTGCGCCATGGCCTGCTGCCTACCCAGAGCCGGTGGCAGCGGCAGCTGTGACACGCCCGGCATGGCGGCCGCCGCCCAGCGGGTGTCGTTGGCATGGAAAGAGCAAAGGCTGTCGCCCATGGCAGCGGCGGCAGCGGCGGCGGCTGACGGGAACTGAGGCAGGCCTGGGGTGGGCAGCAGGGTGCCGGGTGCGCGGAACACGTTGGTTGTCTTCTTGCGCTTCTTCCACTTGGCGCGCCGGTTCTGGAACCAGACCTGGAGCAGGAGAAGAGAGAGAGAGACAGGGGACTGTTAGCGAGCCCCGCGGTTGTAGGGTTGTGGGGGCAGGGGCTTAAACGACGGAGTCCTTGTCAATACAGCCACTTAGCCACAGGCCAAACAACTGCAAACACACCACATCGGCTTGACACGCCCAATACCTAGCCAAAGATCCTGGTTCTCCACCATCTCATGGCAACTGGATCCCCTTCTACCCACCAAGCGCAGAATCACGCGTCTTGGAGTGATCATGCCCCAGAGCGTTTACGCGCAGTGCAAACACACCACAATGTGCAGTGTTCACCACGCCCCTGCACGCTGGTACATTCCGTGCAATGCACAGGTCTGCAGGCAGGCATGTGTCAAGGCTCGACCCACAGGTGTACAAATGAAGATAAACATATGTTCCCATGTGGCTTAATAGCATGTCTTATAACTCTGATGGGGTATAGAATTTTCAGAAATGCTGGAAATTTGGAAATTGATGAAGGGCCATGGATGACATAGACAGTTTCAAAATCGAAAGACAAAGGAAGCCCCTAACACCACAGTTGACAGAGCAGAGAGGTTAATATAGTGATCCGTGTGGGAAAGCGAGTGCCACTGAGCTACAGTGTTTTTTGGGTTGCCACAGAGACTTCTGTTTCCTCCCACAGCTCTTAGTGCCATAACCACAAATCTCCTGCCCCATTCCCAAACCATTTTTAAGGACACATTTGTCTGGGCAGAATCCTAAGCTGGAACCTGCCACTCCAGGGCTTTCAAGTCTATTTTTTTTTAAGTAACTTGCTGAGGACAACAAGGCCTCTGATAACCTCAAGTTGTCCTCTTTTCATTTATAAACTGAAAGTAAATTTTCTGACCAATACAAGTGAAAGCAGATTAGGTTCAAAACCCACACTAGTAATGAACAAATTTAATTTTTCTAAGGCAAACACAGATGTCTTTTTTCATGAAGATGAGTTTGATGAAATGCATTCCAGATGAAAATGAGCCTCCTTCTTTTTCTTTACAGTAGCCCAGAAAAATCTTTCTATTAGCCAAATCTGTCCACAGATGTCCAATTCACTACCATAGGGAAAGAGTTCTATGTGGAAGATTTTAAGTAAGCTGCCTGGCTAAGATAACTTCCCATCTCCACCTATTTCAATTTGATCTTTAAGAAAAAAATTTGCCAGCATTCCTATTTGGCAGATTTGGAGTCTAAAATCTAGTCAACTGGAGATTTGCTTTGCCTAAATGTAAATGATGTGGGACACAGCTCAGGTACTGAGTTTCCTTTTAGAATTTAGCCAGCAGAGTGTGACCACCATACTTGTGGCCCAAAAGGAGGTTCAACCCATTAATCCAATCTATGTGGTGTTTATTCTGCAATCTCTAATATCAGGAGTACCAAGGCATACCTACCCCCATTCTCAGTAAACCAGCCAGGCACAATCTTGTATTCATACCCTTGCAAGCAAAGACATACTCTCCGCTTACTAGAGTAAACCACATTGCAATCTAGAATTATCTTTGAGTGGGCCTTGGCCTTCCTATCCTAACTAGTCATGGCCCACTATTATCTTTCTATCACATTTTCTACGTTGCTGCCTATTTCAGCATCAGCAATGGGCAAACAAGCTGCTTCCCTTCCTCCTTGCAGCCCTTGAGCTGCGGTGCAGTGGATTAATGAGGCAGCAGGACCCTAGATGGTGGATGGGATCAATGTGGTTGAATTGAGCTGTTAGAGGCCTTAGCTGGAGAGCAACCCTCAGATGACCAGGAGAGACTTGCAGTGTCAAATCCCTTTGCAGCACCCACCCAACACTGGATTGGGGTGAATTGGACAGGACAAGAGCCCTTAACAGAGACTGTCCAAATGGTTCCCACACCTCCCAGGCAGCACCTAGATATATTTTGAAAGGTATCTTACAAAGTCAAAACCAGTTCCTAACACCCTACAAGTGCCAGTGAGTTCTGAAGTGTTTGGTTGTTTGAAGGGTGTAAAGTAGATGAAGGAGTGGAGAGAGAAGCAGAAGAAAGAAGGTCGGGGTGGAATTGCCCAGTAGAAATTTAATAGCAAATATCACTGCCAGAAAGGTTTCTGACTCTAGGATCTGCTCAAGCACAAGCGGAAAAGAACAGCTATTAAAGAACTAAATATTGTAGGAATAATCAAAAATTGTGCTCAATTATGTTTGAGGGTTAGTAGTCAAATGATGGCTACAAATTTTTTTATGTTTCATGGCTTACTGGGGTTGAGAAAAAAAATCTGCATGGGATCTGAGCACCTCCGTTCCAAGCTATGATGCATATGTTTTTAAAATGTGAATGTTTCCACTTGAAAACTAGAGCATGACGGATTAAAATGCAGGCAAAACCTGAGGGAGATTTTCAGAATGCACAGATGACAACTGCAGGAAATATATTAACCGCAACCACGGGCCAACTTTGTACTCAGTTTGAATTGCAGCTCTTCTCAGAAAATGCTTAATACAACAGTGAGAATCTAATGGAGGTTGGAATCTAAAAATCCACTTTCATGATATCTGCTGTTACAGTAATATAGACATACTGTAAATGTATTTTAAAATATATAGCCCGTTTAATTCCCCAGCTATAAATGGCTCAGAAATAGAGAAAGAGTGGGAGAAAGAAAGAATATTACTTTTTTCCCCCTCGAAGCAAACGCTTTATGAAGATCTCATTGGAATCCAGCAAGTGATTAATGTGAAGATTTGGGAGGAAATCTGGGGAGCTGTATTAAAGCCTAGATCTCAGGTTCATTTCGATCAGCCAGCCGTGAACTCTGGGCCGAATTCATTACACTTTAATAGTGCTGGGAGAGGAAGAAAATGCAATTTCTCATTCCATTAGAAAACTAGAAAATACTCTCAGCTTGTCCCCCTATTAAGATGTGGCAGGTGACAGGGCCATTCTGGGGGACACGGTCAATGGAATTACAGCACATTATTTTTGTTCATATAAAATATTGAAAGGCAAGCCTGACTGTGCAGAAGTTATTTCACTGATTTGGTTTTTATGTAAATAAAATATTGAAAGTTAATTAATCCGTGCTAGAGACTAATGATTATGCTTATTATATTGCATTTGATCGCATAATTTGCATGATTCTCGCATTGCTGCTTAATAAGCCATTCCAGGTTATAAATAATTCTGAAATTGGTTTCTAATAATGGCATGCTATAAAAGGAATGGTTTTATTACACTAGCCAGAAAAGGGGAGCAATATCAGACATGGAATTGGCCTCCATGTGAGTAGAGGTGCTTTAATAAATACTTAGAAGTATGATATATACCAAGTATAGATAAAAATAAGTATATTGGGTAATTTAGCCTAGAATCAAAAAGCATCTCTGAAAACATACAATTGCAATAAATTAAATGTTTAGATCATTTTTAATCAGTGCAGTGGCCCACATGCTGGAAAGAATGTGTGGCAATCTGTTAACTATAAAGAAAACTATGAAGTACTCATCATATAAGAACATAAACCAATTACTATTTAATTTGAATTTGGTCAAGGAGCAATGGTACAGTGAGTTGTGAAGTAAATACATTTTCCATAAATTATTTTGCATTACATTACATAATGTTAATCATTTTGAAATGTTAATTAAGAAGGTTATGTTGATCTGATTACTTTTTAAACTATGAAACATTATTTTTAAAAATATTGAAATTGCCATTCTATTAAATTGTTTCTATCAACAGCCTCAAGCTATTATCTTTGGTTGAACATTATGCTAAAACAATTAAAGTACTTTGTCTCTTTCTTCTTGCATATTCTTTTGTGTACTCTTAAAAAATAACTTTCTATCACATAGTTTGTATTTTATTTCATTTACAACTTTTTCTATTAAAAGAATCACTGTCATTAACCTTTGGAAGACCTAATAAAGTTTAATAGACCTCGTTTTCTTTTTTCATAAAATCAGTTGTCCAATTATATTTTATTTGTGATTCTAAGTTCTATTTTAATTTGAACTAATTACCAGTATGTCTGGGTCAAAACACAGCATTTTTCTCTTTTAAACAACAATTAACCACTAACATTTCTCTTGAGGAACCAAAAAGCAAATTTGTGAATTCTGAACCTGCAGAATGACCCACAATTAAGAATTATAATGAGCATAGTTTTCTAATTTTGTATTTTGCAAAGGTTGAATTCAGTTTCAGATTTTTAAAAAGGTGAAAGTAAAAGATTTAAAGGATACTAGTAACAGATATCTGCACAATATAATTAGCAGTCTTTTGATGTGTAATTTTAGTGGCCCATAGTTCAGGCCTTTTGAAGTTCACTAACAAAAACACTCAGACTTATATTAAATAAAAATGCTAATTATTATGTTTTATCCTGAATATTGCTTTGTTAATTTGACCATTTAAATCCCTGATGACATTCATTACTACTAGAACAGAAGCATGTACTACTTTTCCCGTTTAGACTCTTAAAAATGCCAAATGGAAACAAACATTTAACACGGGGAAAACCTTCATTGCTCATTTATTGGATGATATACAAATTATTTGAGATATTTAAGATCAATCTATAAAAGCAGGTAGCACAGCTTTAACAAGTTAAGTTAACACCCAGGACACCGGACAGAGGACAGAAAATACCAATGTCCAAGATAGCAAGATGATTTTCAGCACCCTGGATAGCTCAAGACTAAGTGCCTGTCTTGAAATTTCTCCTCCAGGCACCTGCCATAAAATATTTAATGTTATTTTCATGCTTTTTAAGAAGTAGAAAAGAAATTTGGGATTCATTAGGCTTGTGCTTTTGTACCCCAATTTTCAAAACAGTTATAGGTGTGATATCTAGATTACATATAATTTACAACTTGGGTGGCTGGATAACAACAAGGGGTCAACAATGATTGCGTTTACTTCCAATCAAGCTTTTCCCCCCTATGTGTGCCTTCTTCGGGTCGGGTATCTACAATGGAAAGCCTTCATTTCTCATCCAAACCCCAATTTCCTTAGGGGAACGTTGAAAAACAGACAAACCAAAACCCAGTGCCCACCAGCGGTTGGAGGATCTCCTGGCTACTTCCGGGGAATTGGTAGAACTTCTTGCAAACATCAAAGGTTAGGGTGTTTGGCCCGAGAGCTGCAAGAGTGTGATTTTAAGAGAATAAAGCCACACCGTGAAATCCGAAGGGGTCTCTCTCTCTCTCTCTCTCTCTCTCTCTCTCTCTCTCTCTCTCTCTCTAAATCCGAAGGGGGGTCTCTCTCTCTCTCTCTCTCTCTCTCTCTCTCTCTCTCTCTCTCTCTCTCTCTTTAAAAAAAAGCTTTATTTCCTCTCTTTTTATGCTTTCTGTATAATTGTTGCATTCCCCGTTTTATCCAAAAGCTTAACACAAATTCATTAGGGTGTAGTGAAATACTTGTCAATAATAGGAGCTGGAGTGGAGGTGCACGCTGGGTTTTACCGCATGAGAGACGCGGGCTTGCCTTCTCAGAAGAAAGAGTCGAACCCCGCTGCCCAACAAAATGGGACTTCACTTTTGAGGAATTTCAGGTGGGATGCGGCTATACTGTTGGGAGACGGGCCTTGCGTGTCCTTTGGAGGATGGCGATCTGGGCCAGTTTGGGGCGAGAAGAGGCTAACTAACCCAGGATCGTTTAGGCAGCTGGAGCAGAGCCCAGGAACTCAACAGGGAAAGGAAAGGCCCGGCTCCCCTTGCCCCAATCCTCCCGTCCTCTCCTTGCCTTCTGTCGGAGCGCCCAAACTCCGCATACCTGCACTCGGGATTCGGTCAACCCGATACGCAGCGCCAGCTCCTCACGCATGAAGATGTCCGGGTAGTGAGTCTTAGCGAAGCTCCTCTCCAACTCGTTGAGCTGTGCAGGAGTGAAGCGCGTCCGGTGGCGCTTCTGTTTCTGTTGGCCCTGCTGCTGACCGGCTTGGCTGGGGTTCGGGCCGCCCTGGGGCCCGGGCTGCTTGTCCGGGTCTTTGGCGCTCACCGCCAGCGAAGCCGGGGTAGAGCCCACTGTGGTGATATCCTCCCCAGGTAGCAGAGTTGCTCCCTCGACTGGGTCGGAGTTGGGCGCCAGGTCCCCTGGATGGCCCCCGGGGTCAGAGCCCCCCACGCCCAGCCTACACTTCACCGCCTCCCGGTGGCCCAGCAGCTCGGCGGCATCTTTCATACCTGAGAAGGCAAGGGGATCGTGGTCACTACTCTCCTGGCGACGCCAGGAAGGACTATCTTCCCGGTGCGGTGATTCCTCGGCCCCATCTTCGGTACCCTCCGCGTTTAAGCTCGCCCTATGGACGAAACTCCCAGAGCGCTCAGCTGGGTTCCCCGGGATTTGGACAATTACGTTGGAATAACATCTGGCCCTTTCCCCTCTCTCTGCAGCTGACCCCGGTAGCAAACAGCACATGCTTTCGTTTCTCCCACAATAAAACGCTCCCAGGCCCGGCAATAAAACATGCCTCCTAGTCCCTTTCATAAACCCTATCCCTGGAGCCCCAGGAAATCGAGAGTAAATCCTTGGACATGGGAGGTAAAGGGGAGAGATAAAGAAAATTAAACGATTCTTGGTTCTTCGGTTGCTGCCTCACCTAAGCTAAGGCAAACTGACGGACTCTACCTCCTGCAGGATTCCCTCTCCCTTTCGGAAGATGGATAAGTCTCCAAGACTTCCACCCCCCGAAATCAACCCAAATCAGCTCCGCCTCCCCCCTCAAATCTGAGAAAGTGTTTGGAAAATGGAATCACATCCATCACTAAAGAATCCCAAACCGGAAACCCAGAGCCCAGCGACCCAGATGGTTTAAAAGAAACTCGAGTAAACTCTACAGACATAACAGTGAATCAAACTTCAGAGAATTCAACTTTTCTTTCCGGAGAAATAAAAGGTTCGTTTCTCTCAGCCATTGGCAACGCTGGGTCCTTTTTAGAAGGTAGAGATGCCTGTGAAGATGAGTTTGGCTTCTCTCCTTCTCAACCAGCACACTTAGCAAATCCACCTCGATGACAGCAATTTCTCCTTTTAGGCCAAATTTTTAAATTTTATTTTATATTTTTTTAAGAAAACAAATTCAACCATACTTAGAGGAGGAGGAGGAGGAAAAGAGGTGGTGGGAGAGAGGAAAAAAGAGAAAGAAATCCCAAGTCAAAGCTAACAGGAAAGAAAAAAGAGAAACACCTCCAAACAAATTATCACGGGATAGATCGCCTTTGGAAAAAAAATAAATAAAGGGGTGGGGGTAAGCAAAAATAAGAAAAACAAAAAGTAACACCATTCCCCAACTCCTTTTCTAGATCTACATATTCCATAGATTTTTTTTTAAAAGACGATGTTAAATCAAATTAAACTTTAATACTGCACAATTACTTTTAAAGAAATTAGTCCATTTAGGGCGCATTAAGGTAAAATAAGGAACAAATTGACAATTTCCTGCCCCGGCTTCTCCTGGCTGCCGGGGCCAGAGGCGCACACTCACCTAGCCTGGCGTCCAGGAGGTCGGCGTGAGACAGCATCGCGCACCGCTCCAGGGCGAAAGCTGTTCCCCCCCAAATTTTAGCGGCTTTAAGTTATTTAAAATAGATATAAGCTATAAGCTATACGATATAGATATATATAGATCACCTAAATGAAAGAAAATTCGGTTTGTGGTTAAAAAGGGGGCTTCTTGCATTATAATGTCCTTTAGAGAGACGGGGAGGTGCTTAACAGTTGAATGAACCCGTGAGCAGCTTGGCGAGGGGACCAATCAGGAGGGCAGCCTGCAAATGTCAGCGCCCGGAGAGTCCCCCACTCCGCCCGCCCGCCCGCCCGCGCCCGCCCGGAGGAGGCGGCGGCGGCGGCAACCCTGGCAGCTCCAGCCCGAGCAGCAGCTAAGGCAGCGGCGGATGCCTCGGTCTCACCCTGAGCTTCTGGGCCCGGCCTCCGTTAGTTCTTTTCCTGAGATTTTTCTCCCAGGCACATCTTTTCTTCCCCCTGTCCTGACCTGCTTGCTTCACTAGCGCAGCCGTGTCTCAGAGCCAGTAACTTCCTGGAGCAGGGGCAGGGAAGAGACCAGAGCAGGGCATGACCCCCGCGTGACCCAAGAGTCGCCCCCGCCCTCGCGTTCTAGGCAACATTGGCCTGCTCTGGTCAAGCCCAGGGCCCAACACGGGCACGCGGCGGCCTCCAGACGATGCCTAGACTTTCCCGCTGCTCAGCAGGCCTGCACCAGAGATCCTGCCTAAGCCACGGGGCCTACCGACCACCAACCCTACCGCCGGCCTAGAGCGCCAAGAGGAGTCGGCTCCCCGGGCGCTGCGGGTGCCCGGTGTCGGCTTCCAGGACCTGAGTCAGGGTGCATTGGTGCGCTCTACACTCTTCCCACGAGGCTCAATCCTAGGTTCCGCTCCTCGGCCCAATCCACTCTAGATCCTGGCCCCTGACCTACTCTTCTGGTCAAAGTTTCTAAGTTCAGCTCGGCTCCCAACTCCTCTTAAGGCTGTAAATAAAGTTAAATGCTCTTTATTTTCTTCTTGAATATGTTAAACTACGTGAACAATTTAAAGTGCTTTGCACAAGTGAAGCGAACCATTTCTAATGTTCTGATTTTTCAGAGCCAGCCAACAACAAAGTTTAGATTAGTAATATATTTCTAACCAGAGTAATTTTCAAGATCATTAGGCATTTATGTAATTAGTGCCAAATCTATAAGCTTTTATTACGATTATTAGAGTAAAATCAGTATAAATTTGTACTAATTTACTACTGTTTAGACTTGGCTGTCAAGCCCAGAGGTTCTTATTGTAAATGATAACTGAGGAAATTAAGTGCAAAATTCTGTACCATTTCTGATCTGCTCCTAAACAATCCGTTTCAATTGTATTTGTAGCAGAACATAATGCCCTTTTAAAGTTATTTGACTTGTATTTTTATTTGCATCACAAGAAAAATGCCCTCTACCCAGTCACAATGAAAACTGATATTTACTACTCCCATCTTGATTAACATTGATTTTTAATTCGAGAGTGATGCAATTAAGATTATTCATTTAGTGCAAATAAAGCTTCCACAAAAGGGTGGCCCTATGAAGTCTGTTTTAAATAATACAGAGCAAATGGCTTTTTTTGTTCGCCATCCAATTGACTTACACAAAACACTGGAAATGCTGCCTGAGAGCAGATGCGAGAGAGGAATTGTGTGTGTGTGTGTGTGTGTGTGTGTGTGTCCCTTCAGCTGTGTGTGACAGGGAGCAAGCAAGGAGACAAAGGAGGCGGCAAAAGCGAACTCCGGGGCAGTTTTGTTTGCTCTGTCCCTCCTGCAGCCCGTTCAACCTCCTCTCGTGCACACCAGTGTGTGCGTGCTCACACAAGCGCACACACGTGTGAATGCAGGGCAAAAACTATACCCGGTCCTTCCGAGCTGTGGAGACCGCTCACCCGGAAGCTCCGGGCCCGACCGGGCTTCAGAGGCCGTTGCAGCTGCTGCCAACGCGGCCTAGGTGGAGCTGGGGCGCCGGGACTGGGAATTTCGGTTCCGCGGAGCCTGGTGGCTGCAGCAGATCTGCGAGCCGAAAGGGCACCCGGCAGGCGAGCGGTGCCCTTTCCAGAAAGGTTTTGCTGGGAGGAGAATTTGGAGACCTAAAGTAAACAGAATCCTTCCAATAAAAGCTTTCTTTCCTCCAACAATCCCCCAAACCCAAAAGCTAAAGCGCCGGGCGCGCGCAGCAGAAGTAGACCCGACAGCAGACCTGGGCGGGGCGGCGTTGGCTCAGCACGCGGCTAGGAGTGCGCACCTGGCTGCGTCTGTCCAGGGACTCGCAAGGGGTTTGTGCCCAACGTGTGGCTTGGGTAGTTTCCTGGCCGGAATGCAAAAGCAGGGGTGAGGAGAAGTGATAAGGAAGGGACTGGGAAACCGAGCAGCCGCACCCTGCTCCCCCAAAGAAGCAGGTCTGCGGAGGCCCGCACCGCAGGGGCTCTACACCCTGCCGGGAGGGAGGAGAGGTGGTGACCTGGGAAAAGAAGGGCACTGAGCCTTGAGTCGACACGTGTGTGCCCACCAGCGCTCGGGTCCCCATCCCACAGCAGCCTCAGATCAGCCTCCAGCCATGCCGCGTCCTCCCACACGCACTCGCTCGTATATTCTGTTTTGTTGTATCTTTCAGGTCGATAAATAAATGTGTAATAGTTAATGTGAAGACACATCAGAGTAATAACAATGGGACGAAATCAAAGGATTATCCATCTCTGTTAGTAACCGCTGAATAACAATGTTGCGGCGTGATTGATAGCCCGCTTCATTTTATGACTTTTCTATTGGTCTTGATTTTTATAGCAGTATAAACAAACTAAATCATTTCTTCCAAGACTTCAGAGCATAAGCACCTCGGGGTGGGGGAGGAAAGGGGGGTTGAAAGAAAGGGAAATCAGAGTGGGTGGGGGTGACCCGGGTGGCTGTGGGGGCGTTGGTGTGGGGAGGGCGCTAGTTGGAGCTGGAGCAGGAGCTTGGAAACTGCAGCCCGCAGGCGAGGGAAAACAATAGTCTCGGTGTAAAATGCCCCCGCGCCTGGTTTCCTCTCGGCAGCTTGTTTTGGCCAATATCTGAATCCACCTGGGCAGTGGCTGAGATGTATTTACCAGAGTTTTATCCCCGTCATCTTCCCACGTTCCTGGGGCAGCCGGGAAAGTGCCGGTCAGGCCCATTGCTGTTGATAATTTAAGGCATTTCCCACATGATCATGGGAACTGAAGTCCCTAACAAGGCGAGGCTTTAGCGCAATGGCCCCCAAATCTTCGGAATGACAAGAATGTCTTCAGAAATCACTTCAAAGCAAAGTAAAAGGATTTTCTATGACGGATCCAGTGATTTTTCCTCAATAAATAGGTTTTAGATTGTTACACACACGTAGAAGTGGAACAAAGGGAACTACCAGAAAATATATTGGTTGCCCCTAATAAAATTTATTTAGACAGTTTACTTCTCATAAAAAATAGAGATTGAATTTTGTACAAGAGCCTGCCAAGGGGCGATGCACAGGGAAATCATTTTTTTCTTTCTCCTTCCCCCCCCTTCTCCTTTTTAACGAAGCACAAAGAGCGTTTAAAGGCCAGGGAACCGTCTCCTGCCACAGGAGAGCCTAGACCTAGCAAGAGAACTCAGTAGTTTGGGGAGAGATCAGCTTCCGGGGAGAGGTATATATTTTAAAACCAGAATCTTAATGAACAATTATGTAAATTACAAACACAACAACTACACAATAGGTATTTTTTCTTCTGCTTTGCCATCCCATTCCACAGCAGGACTTAGAAATACAGTGTGGCTGGATGAGGAGATGGGATGAGGTGGAATAGGGTAGGAGATGGGACAGTAAGTACTTTAAAGATGAATTTATGCTTATTAGGTTTGCAATTCTGATTTTCTCTCTAATTGCATTTCTGCATCCATTGTGAATCCTTTGTAGAGAAACAGAAAGGATGAAAATATATACAGGGTGCTCTGGGAAGAATTGGGTAGTGTGCCCAGAACCCTAATTGCTTTTTCCACTTACAGAAACCTCGGGTGTTTATTAAATGTAACTTTCGGTTGCTTAGGTTGCTTGTAAACTGCTCTCTTTTCTTTGCAGATACTGGGCTGAAATATGGCGAGTTATTATTCACATTCCTGCTATTAAATGCTGAATTGTAACATTGTTCCCTTTAATGAGGAGCGCCTCCCTCAATAATTAACGATCTCACATTTTCCTATTTTCTTGCCTGATGAAAAGAATCAATTTTAATTCGTGGTAAATTACAGCCATGCTTTTGGGTATTATTTGCTTACAGAAAACAAATCAAGTGACTTGAACACTCCTGTTTACTTTTCCAGATATGCAATAACCCAAATGCAATGGCAAATCAGATCGTGTTCTTCAGGCCTACCTTAGAAACGGAAAAAAGATTAAAGGGTGGGAGGAAACACAGGAGGAAAGTAGAGGAAGCTCCCAATTCTACTGCGTTTGGATAAACACACATCCTGCCTAGGGTGCCAGAACCCGCTTTCCCCTAGTCCCTACCACAGCCGCCCCACCCCTCTTCCTGGGCAGGGGTCGATAGATCACCTCTGGCCACCCTAGAGTTTGGACTGCTCCATGGATGGCTTATTGTGGGGGTCGATCTGAGGGTGGGGTGAATGGGAGGAAGGAGATCTGGGAGGGCGGCCAAGTCTCTGCGAAGGGGCCGGGTGCTTCCACACTTCTCTACACAAAAGAACTCTCTCTCTCTTTCAAGGTTTCCAGCCAAAGCGACCACAGTTAAAGCGCTCTTGCACGTTCACAGCGAAATCTCCCGCAACTCGAATTGGGGCGTAGTCTCTCCCGGACACCTAGAAAAACGTCTTAAACTCCTAGCCAAACAAGCCTGGACTCAGCCCAAATATGCGTCCTCTAGGCTTGCCTGGGACCAGGAGAGCAGGGACTCCAGGCCTATCTCAGCTAGAGTAATTGGCTTGATAATAGCCGGCCCGAAGCTGTGGCCACAAGGACACAAGTTTCCAGCCTCGAAGTAAAATGCCAAGGGCTGGTACGCTAGACTTGCTTTCTTTTTCTTGTTTTCCCTTTAGCGTAAGAAGCAGGGCTGCATGTGCAGGACACGTGTACTTGTGTGTGCCCTTGAGTGAACAGTGCGTGTCCACTGCCTGCTCCCACACAT